GGGCCCGGCAGCCGGGCCGCCCGCCCTCCCCGGCCCTTCTTCCACCCGGGAAACGGCCGCTCCTCCTGGGTCTGCCGTCGTGGGTTCTGTGCGGAGGGCCCCGGGGAGCCCCGCGTTGGTTTTGTCTGCACTGCACCCGGGTCTCTGCCGACACTTGGTATTGTCGGGCCTGGTTTAGGCCGTTCTGGTATGGGCCGCCTGCACTGGTGGTGGTAGTGGTTGCTTTCCATACCAGGACGGCCCGACAATACCGGCCCCCGCGCATCCACAGGTGAAAACGGCGTGCGCTGCTCCGCGACGTCACCCCTCCGAGTCGGTAGACGATGGGGATGGGGCGTTCAGACCGAGTGCGGCCTGCAAAGTGCACCTGCTCTTACCGGGACCTAGGGTAGCACCCCGGGTTTGTGTGGGCCCTACCGAAGGCCCTAAATACCACCTTGTTTGGGGCCTTCCTGGGAGGAGTTTAATCTGTCCTGTGTGTTGAGGATCTAGGTTGGTGTTTTGGTTCATAATCAACCACCTTTTTCTTTTAAAAGATGGTTATTGGAACCAGCATAGCGTAGTGGTTATGTCGCTGGACTCCACTCCCACACGGTGGACCGTGGTTCAGATCTCTGGCTGGTGGCTTGAAAAATCACACCGGGCACGTGTGCATGGGTGCCCAAATTCCAAGAGGAGAATGGAGGGAAAGGGATTGTGGTGTGGCCATCCCCCCCCCCCCCCAGGTGATTTGTCACTTTCCCTATCACTTTCTCTGTCTCTTCAGCAAGCACATGCCCTGTGGTAGAAGCCCTTTAAAAAAGATTAATTTTATGTATTTTTAAATTTGCTATATAGCACGTGTTCACCAGAGAGAGAGAGAAAGAGGGAACGTGAGAAAGCAAGACACAGCTCCAGGACTCCAGCTGTGGTCGGCCATGTGGGAGTCTAGTACCTTAACCACCAGGCCACCTGCTGACCCCCCAGGGCCTTCTGTCTCTGAGAAGGTGTGATTTCTGGGTAGCAGTAGGTAGGAGACAGGTGCTGCTGCCCCCTGCTGGTTCTGGCTTGGCAGGTGGTTTCTGACGGTTCGGCAGTTTGTCTACAGCTCTGGACCCATCAGTTCCCTGGTGGGGCAGGAACCTAGACAGTGCATGGAGAAGCCCAGGGAAAAGTTAGCAAGAGGGAAGAGGAAGAAAGGAGTACCAGGAGAGGGGTCGGAGTTAGAAGAGATTTGGTAGGTTGAGGTGACAAGGTGCAAACCACAGCAGGGACCGGACTCAGGAGACCTAGCCTGCAGTGCCTGCCCACCTTCTGGGAGCCCTGGCTTGGGAAGAGCTACTCTCTGGAGGCTGTCGGTTCTCATCTTTAACTATGGGTAATATCACTGGCCCTTTCTCCCTCCCAGAGCGGAGAGGACTAAATAAATCTTAAAGGCATTCACTTTCATTCATGTTTTATACATTGGGAAGGTCAGAGATGCAAAACAAAAAATTTGATTTAGAAATATGATTACTGTGATCATATTGAGATAGCAAGAGTTAGAAGAGAGCACTGTTCTAAAGAGATATTTGTCCATTTCAGGGAAGAGCATTAGAGAATATATTCATAGATATTTAAAAAGTCAGTGATGTCATTGTGTACAGAGGTACTTGTGTCTTATTTTCATTGAAGTGAAATGGACATTGTTAAATGCACAAATTGTAAGTGTGCTTCTGAAAAGCTTCCATAAATGTAGACACCTGTACCCACTTTCCCAGTCCACATTATTTCCATCATCTTAGAAACTCTGCTGTCCCGTCAGTCTCCCGACTCCATCTCCCCGAGCCACCGCTGTCCTGCCATCTCTCCCCGTAGTTCCCCTGTGCCTGCTCTGAACCTCATGGGAATGGGATCTCACAGCGTATGTGTGTGGCTTCTTTTGCTCAAATGTTTCTGAGTTTCATCCATGTTGTCGACGTGTGTTAATATGTCCTTCTCTTTGATCTGTGAGTAGCTTCTCATCGTATAGATGTCATATTTAGTTTAACCCTTCTGCTGTCATTGGTGCTTAGGCTTCCAATTTCTGACTGTTACGAATATGGCTTAAACATTGCTGTAGAGCCTCCTGGACTTTTTTCATTTCTTTGTGTAAATACGAAGGAGTAGAATTACAGGATTAAAGTGTACAAGTGTGTTTTAACCTTATAAGATTGCGCCATGGGGCCAGCAGGTGTCATGGTGGTTACAGGCACTGGACTTCTACATGGCTGACCACGGTGCAAGTCCTGGACGTAGTGACTTGCTTCCTCACTTTCTGTCTCTTTCTCTCTGTGTCTCTCTCTGATCAAACTGGAAAATAATTAAAAGAAAAAGTCAAATAATTCTTTTTTAAAAAGCATATTAAAATTGTTTTTTAAAAAGTGGTGACAGGTGGTGTTGTTGCGCTGGACTCCCATGTGGCTGACTGATTTGAGTACTGCACCTGGCGGCTTGCTTATCTCTGTGTGTCTTTGTCTCTCTGGTGAGTGCATGTGCCTTGTAGCAAATTAAATAATAATAATAATAATAATAATAAATACAATCAAGTAAATAATTAAAAAAAAAAAAGAAAGTACCAGATATTCTCTAAAATGATTTTACACACCTGTCAGTAATGTGTGGAAATTCTAGTTGCCCCAAATCTTTGCCAACATTTGGTATTGTTAGTTTTAATTTTAGCTATTCTATTATGGGCATAATTATACTTCAGTGTGGGTTTTTGTTGTTTAATTTGCCAGAGAGTGCATGTACTTGCCAGAGACAGAAAGAGAAAGAGGGAGAGAAACCATCCTCCAGTGGGATGTGGTCATGCCACAGTCCCTTCTCCTTCTCACCATCCTACCGGGATCTTGGGCACATGCGCATGTGCGTGCACACACTCACACACACGTGCCTACCATGTTTTTCAGGCCACTGGGTCTGGGATTTTTTTTTAACTTTATTTTTATTTTTATTTGATGAGGGAGAGGGAGAGAGAAAGTGAGAAAGCAAGCCACCAGATCTGGGACTTGAACCATGGTTGGCCATGTTGGATCTAGCTCCTTTAACTACTGGGCCAAGGGGCAGGCCCCATTGTGGTTTTAATTTCTATTTCCCTGGTGACTAATATTGAATACCTTTTCGTGTGACTATTCCCTTTCTGACATCTTTTAAAAGATATCACCTATTCAAGTATTTGGCACAACTAAATTTTGTTTTAATTTTTTTGAAAACTCATGATAGAGCATATGCATGCACGAGAGAGAGTGCAAGTTAGAAGCAACCCTGTGCAAGACTAGATCATGCCACATTCCCTTTCTTGAGATCCCCTAGCCTGCCGGTGTCCTGGGCACCTGCTGCTATGTCTTCAGTCTGTGGTGCTGCTCATTGTGCCCTAGAGGCTGGGCCACAAGTGAACTGTCATTTTAGCCCAAATACATTTCTTACTGGGTTATTTGCCTTATTACTGAGTTGTAAGGGTTTCTTTTGTAATCTGCATACAAATCCTTTGTCAGATCCTGGGAATATTTTCTCCCACTCTTTAGTTTGCCATTTCGTTTTCTTAATGAAATATTCTGATGAACAGACATTTAAAATTTTTGTGCAATCCAGTTTATCAAGTTTTTGTTTCTGTTTTTATGTTTAGTGCCTTTAAAAGAACCCTCTCAGGACCAGCAAATGGCGTAGTGGTTACGTCACTGGACTCCCACATAGCCGACTGCGGTTGAAGTCCCGGGCCCAGGGGCTTCAAAATCATGCCGGGTGCGTGTGCGTGCATGCCCAAGATTCTAGGATGAGAATGGAGAAGGAACTGCAGCCTAGCCATCCCCACTAGGGATGATTTCTCACTTTCCCTCTCACTGTCTCTGTCTCTCTAACTAGCACATGCTCCCTAAGGGAAAACCCCCCCTTTTTTTTTTCTTAAAAAAAAAAAAGGCACCTCAGAATTCTCTGCCTACCCCAGGGGCAAGAGAATCTTTGTTTCCTTCTATCTCCTTTATTCTTTTAACTTTCACATTTAGGTTTATGAAGAGATGCTTGTTATAATGCAACAATGTAATTATCATACGCATTGGATTTAAATCTATCTAAATATTCTAGAAAGCTGTGTATCTGAAGAGAAACAAAAAACAATTACCTCAGAGTAAAAGAATCTTTTCCTTCTTACGGTGAAAAAACAATAATAGCTAAAATAATATAATGATGTTTCATTTTCCTTTAGGACTTTAATTTTTGGAAGTGAATAGAACTGGTTTTGGAAGACAAGATGACTACAGCTGCAGAAAGAAAATATATTAATATCAGAAAGAGATTGGATCAGTTGGGATACCGCCAGACTCTGACAGTGGAGTGTCTACCGTTGGTAGAAAAACTTTTCAGGTGAAGATAAAAACACAGTTCTAAGACTGTAGGACCTTAATCCACTTACCTATTTTCTGATTGAACTTCATGCTTCAGTTAAAAAAAAAAGAATTGGGAGATTTTTGAAAGGTCCTTGAGTCATCTGAAGCCCATCTGTTCTGAGACTCTACTCCCTAGTCTGCAGTCTAGGCCTTCCATATTGCAGAGCTCCCGGGGTCACCATGCAGACTGTAGTGTTCCAAGTAAACGTGTCACAGGGTGTTCTTTGTGGTAGAATGACGGTGTTGGGAGTTTCCAATTTTGGGAGACACTTTTCCCTTGCGTTTTGTGCTGTCTCACTGGCATTTTATTGCTCTTATATTAACTGTGGTTCTCTAATATGTTATTGTCATTACTTTAGCTGTTGAATGTTAGAGTAAATGAAAGGTTGTTTGTCTCCTTTTTTCCCTTTCCACAATAGCTGTATTGGAATGGTGTGAGAATGGAACATGAAAGTCATCGAGGCTTTTCTTTTTTTAGATTTTTGCTATAGGGCGCATGCACTTGCTGGAGAGACAGAGAGACAGAAAGTGAGAAATCACCCTGGGGAGGATGGCCACACTGCAAACCCTTCTCCTCCATTCTCCTTTGGGGTTTTGGGGGATTTGGGGCACGCACGTGCACACACACACACACACACACACATACACACATGCCCTGCATGAGTTTTAAGCCTGCAGGTCAATCGAGTATTTGAGGTCCAGTAACGTAATCATTATGCCATCTGCTGATGTGTGCGTGCGTGCCCAAGATCCCAAGAGGAGAATGGAGGAGAAGGGATTGCGGTGTGTCCATCCCTCCTGTGGGGTGATTTCTCACTTTCTGTCTCTCTGTCTTTCTGGTGAGTGCATTGACCCTAGAGCAAAAACCTCTCCAAAAAAAAGAAATATATGTTGAGTTTAAGCTACGGTGCTATAACTTGAACAAACTGTCCCAGTCCTCTATGATGAGCTTGGCCTCTCTGAGGCCCTGTCAGTAGCATGCCAGATTGCAATGCTGGAGGCCAGTGACTGACCACAGGTTAGGATACCTGGCCCAAGCAACTCTAGACACTGGAGTGGAGGGGGTGGAGGAGCCTTTGTGAACACTCCCTAGATGCCGACAAGCTGGAGGCCTAAGAAAGGTTTTCAGTGTGACCAGACCAGGCTCTGTTGTTGAGGATGCTTCTTTTCTCTTTCTTTCTCATGCATAGACTTTCTGACATGAATTTTAAAAAAAGAAAAAAAAAAAAAAAGAACTCCATGATGGTGAGGACTTTATTGTGTTACCTACTCGATCAATAAATAAATGTTCCACTGGTCCGTATTCTTAGAGGCAAGGAACTGATTTTTGTGACCCTGGTGTTTAGCATGTAGTAGACACTCAGAAAATATTTGCTCATGAGTAAGTACATTTCATAGATCCTACAGGGTCAGGTGACTGGACCTGGGAGAGGACCAAGAAGGCAGATTCAAAGGTGATTTTAAAGTGTGAATATTTCATAACTTAGAATTCATCTTGTTTTGAGGATTTTGTGATACTTTGAAATAACTTTAGTGCTCATTTGTTCTTCAAAAATTTGACCTCATTTAGCATTAACATGTATCTTAAGCCTTTTTGGAAATATATTTTTAGTTATTAGAAAATTAATGGAATGTTACCTTGAATTTACATTTTGTATTCTTTCATTTTAGTGACCTAGTTCATACAACAGAAAGTCTTCGGCAATCAAAATTATCTGCTGTGAAAGCTGAAAAAGAAAGTGCCAATTTTGATTTTGTTTTGGAACCTTATAAGCTTGAAAATGCAAGACTGAGTAGAGAAAATAATGAATTATATCTGGAGTTAATGAAACTGAGAGAACACTCAGAACAACACATTAAAGGTAAATGAGAACTTGGTAGTTTTTTATTATTATTATTTTCTTTAACTTTATTTATCTATTTATTTATTTAAGTTTTAATTTGACTGGAGAGGAACAGAGTGTGAAAAAAGTGAGAGAGAAAAAAGTGAGAAAGCAAGACACCAGGTCTGGAACTTGAACCGCAGTCAACCATGTGGGAGTCCAGCATCCTTAACTACCACGCCACCTGCCAGCCCTGAACTTGGTAATTTTTTAAATGTGATGTTTTTTCCTTTTTTGTTTTATATGTATTATATTATGGTAAAATCTAATTTTAAATCTATTAGAAAATGAAAATATGATAGGCCTTTTGCTGATTGCTCCCAAAATAATGTAGGGTATGTTGAAGAGTTCCTGAGAAGGAAAATAAATACAGCATTCTGTGGCTGTATTAGTCTTCACATATGTGGATTACATTTTATTTTTTCTTTTTCCCAAATATTTGTGGACTGAATGAAAGCTGCTGGGAAAGGAGGGAGCTGGGGCAAGTCATGAAAATCTTTTCCCTCATAAACTGGGATTTTTTTTTTAAAGAATAATTTTATCTATCTTTATTAGTATTATTATTTTCCAATTTGGTCAGAGAGAGAAAGGGAAAGTGAGAAAGCAAGCCATCAGGTCTGAGACTTGAACTGCACTTGGCCATGTGGGAATCCAGCACCTCCTACCACCGTGCCACCTGCTGGCCCCTGTGGATTACATTTTTTAAATTAAAATTGCTATAGAGAATATTAAATGCTGGAACTGGAGAAGTGTTTTTAAAACAGCTTTTCCCTTAAAAATAAGAGTAGTAAAAGTAAAAGCCATGTATTACTTAATAGTTGGTCTTGGGTCCAGCAGATAGCGTAATGGTTACGTTGCTGGACTCCACATAGTAGACCACAGTTTGAGTCCCAGACCCAGTGGCTTAAAACTCACACTGGGCACATGTGTGTGCATGCCTGCCCAAAATCCCAAGAGGAGAATAGAAGAGAAAGGATTGCAGGAGCCACCGCTGTCCTGCCTTCTCTCCCCGTAGTTCCCCTGTGCCTGCTCTGAACCTCATGGGAATGGGATCTCACAGCGTATGTGTGTGGCTTCTTTTGCTCAAATGTTTCTGAGTTTCATCCATGTTGTCGACGTGTGTTAATATGTCCTTCTCTTTGATCTGTGAGTAGCTTCTCATCGTATAGATGTCATATTTAGTTTAACCCTTCTGCTGTCATTGGTGCTTAGGCTTCCAATTTCTGACTGTTACGAATATGGCTTAAACATTGCTGTAGAGCCTCCTGGACTTTTTTCATTTCTTTGTGTAAATACGAAGGAGTAGAATTACAGGATTAAAGTGTACAAGTGTGTTTTAACCTTATAAGATTGCGCCATGGGGCCAGCAGGTGTCATGGTGGTTACAGGCACTGGACTTCTACATGGCTGACCACGGTGCAAGTCCTGGACGTAGTGACTTGCTTCCTCACTTTCTGTCTCTTTCTCTCTGTGTCTCTCTCTGATCAAACTGGAAAATAATTAAAAGAAAAAGTCAAATAATTCTTTTTTAAAAAGCATATTAAAATTGTTTTTTAAAAAGTGGTGACAGGTGGTGTTGTTGCGCTGGACTCCCATGTGGCTGACTGATTTGAGTACTGCACCTGGCGGCTTGCTTATCTCTGTGTGTCTTTGTCTCTCTGGTGAGTGCATGTGCCTTGTAGCAAATTAAATAATAATAATAATAATAATAATAATAAATACAATCAAGTAAATAATTAAAAAGAAAAAAGAAAGTACCAGATATTCTCTAAAATGATTTTACACACCTGTCAGTAATGTGTGGAAATTCTAGTTGCCCCAAATCTTTGCCAACATTTGGTATTGTTAGTTTTAATTTTAGCTATTCTATTATGGGCATAATTATACTTCAGTGTGGGTTTTTGTTGTTTAATTTGCCAGAGAGTGCATGTACTTGCCAGAGACAGAAAGAGAAAGAGGGAGAGAAACCATCCTCCAGTGGGATGTGGTCATGCCACAGTCCCTTCTCCTTCTCACCATCCTACCGGGATCTTGGGCACATGCGCATGTGCGTGCACACACTCACACACACGTGCCTACCATGTTTTTCAGGCCACTGGGTCTGGGATTTTTTTTTAACTTTATTTTTATTTTTATTTGATGAGGGAGAGGGAGAGAGAAAGTGAAAAAGCAAGCTACCAGGTCCGGGACTCGAACTGCAGTCAACCGTGTGGGAGTCCAGCATCCTTAGCCGCCATGCCACCTGCTGGCCCCTGCGCACAGGATTTGAACCACATGGTTGGCCATGTTGGATCTAGCTCCTTTAACTACTGGGCCAAGGGGCAGGCCCCATTGTGGTTTTAATTTCTATTTCCCTGGTGACTAATATTGAATACCTTTTCGTGTGACTATTCCCTTTCTGACATCTTTTAAAAGATATCACCTATTCAAGTATTTGGCACAACTAAATTTTGTTTTAATTTTTTTGAAAACTCATGATAGAGCATATGCATGCACGAGAGAGAGTGCAAGTTAGAAGCAACCCTGTGCAAGACTAGATCATGCCACATTCCCTTTCTTGAGATCCCCTAGCCTGCCGGTGTCCTGGGCACCTGCTGCTATGTCTTCAGTCTGTGGTGCTGCTCATTGTGCCCTAGAGGCTGGGCCACAAGTGAACTGTCATTTTAGCCCAAATACATTTCTTACTGGGTTATTTGCCTTATTACTGAGTTGTAAGGGTTTCTTTTGTAATCTGCATACAAATCCTTTGTCAGATCCTGGGAATATTTTCTCCCACTCTTTAGTTTGCCATTTCGTTTTCTTAATGAAATATTCTGATGAACAGACATTTAAAATTTTTGTGCAATCCAGTTTATCAAGTTTTTGTTTCTGTTTTTATGTTTAGTGCCTTTAAAAGAACCCTCTCAGGACCAGCAAATGGCGTAGTGGTTACGTCACTGGACTCCCACATAGCCGACTGCAGTTCAAGTCCCGGGCCCAGGGGCTTCAAAATCATGCCGGGTGCGTGTGCGTGCATGCCCAAGATTCTAGGATGAGAATGGAGAAGGAACTGCAGCCTAGCCATCCCCACTAGGGATGATTTCTCACTTTCCCTCTCACTGTCTCTGTCTCTCTAACTAGCACATGCTCCCTAAGGGAAAACCCCCCCTTTTTTTTTTCTTAAAAAAAAAAAAAGGCACCTCAGAATTCTCTGCCTACCCCAGGGGCAAGAGAATCTTTGTTTCCTTCTATCTCCTTTATTCTTTTAACTTTCACATTTAGGTTTATGAAGAGATGCTTGTTATAATGCAACAATGTAATTATCATACGCATTGGATTTAAATCTATCTAAATATTCTAGAAAGCTGTGTATCTGAAGAGAAACAAAAAACAATTACCTCAGAGTAAAAGAATCTTTTCCTTCTTACGGTGAAAAAACAATAATAGCTAAAATAATATAATGATGTTTCATTTTCCTTTAGGACTTTAATTTTTGGAAGTGAATAGAACTGGTTTTGGAAGACAAGATGACTACAGCTGCAGAAAGAAAATATATTAATATCAGAAAGAGATTGGATCAGTTGGGATACCGCCAGACTCTGACAGTGGAGTGTCTACCGTTGGTAGAAAAACTTTTCAGGTGAAGATAAAAACACAGTTCTAAGACTGTAGGACCTTAATCCACTTACCTATTTTCTGATTGAACTTCATGCTTCAGTTAAAAAAAAAAGAATTGGGAGATTTTTGAAAGGTCCTTGAGTCATCTGAAGCCCATCTGTTCTGAGACTCTACTCCCTAGTCTGCAGTCTAGGCCTTCCATATTGCAGAGCTCCCGGGGTCACCATGCAGACTGTAGTGTTCCAAGTAAACGTGTCACAGGGTGTTCTTTGTGGTAGAATGACGGTGTTGGGAGTTTCCAATTTTGGGAGACACTTTTCCCTTGCGTTTTGTGCTGTCTCACTGGCATTTTATTGCTCTTATATTAACTGTGGTTCTCTAATATGTTATTGTCATTACTTTAGCTGTTGAATGTTAGAGTAAATGAAAGGTTGTTTGTCTCCTTTTTTCCCTTTCCACAATAGCTGTATTGGAATGGTGTGAGAATGGAACATGAAAGTCATCGAGGCTTTTCTTTTTTTAGATTTTTGCTATAGGGCGCATGCACTTGCTGGAGAGACAGAGAGACAGAAAGTGAGAAATCACCCTGGGGAGGATGGCCACACTGCAAACCCTTCTCCTCCATTCTCCTTTGGGGTTTTGGGGGATTTGGGGCACGCACGTGCACACACACACACACACACACATACACACATGCCCTGCATGAGTTTTAAGGCTGCAGGTCAATCGAGTATTTGAGGTCCAGTAACGTAATCATTATGCCATCTGCTGATGTGTGCGTGCGTGCCCAAGATCCCAAGAGGAGAATGGAGGAGAAGGGATTGCGGTGTGTCCATCCCTCCTGTGGGGTGATTTCTCACTTTCTGTCTCTCTGTCTTTCTGGTGAGTGCATGCACCCTATAGCAAAAACCTCTCCAAAAAAAAGAAATATATGTTGAGTTTAAGCTACGGTGCTATAACTTGAACAAACTGTCCCAGTCCTCTATGATGAGCTTGGCCTCTCTGAGGCCCTGTCAGTAGCATGCCAGATTGCAATGCTGGAGGCCAGTGACTGACCACAGGTTAGGATACCTGGCCCAAGCAACTCTAGACACTGGAGTGGAGGGGGTGGAGGAGCCTTTGTGAACACTCCCTAGATGCCGACAAGCTGGAGGCCTAAGAAAGGTTTTCAGTGTGACCAGACCAGGCTCTGTTGTTGAGGATGCTTCTTTTCTCTTTCTTTCTCATGCATAGACTTTCTGACATGAATTTTAAAAAAAGAAAAAAAAAAAAAAAGAACTCCATGATGGTGAGGACTTTATTGTGTTACCTACTCGATCAATAAATAAATGTTCCACTGGTCCGTATTCTTAGAGGCAAGGAACTGATTTTTGTGACCCTGGTGTTTAGCATGTAGTAGACACTCAGAAAATATTTGCTCATGAGTAAGTACATTTCATAGATCCTACAGGGTCAGGTGACTGGACCTGGGAGAGGACCAAGAAGGCAGATTCAAAGGTGATTTTAAAGTGTGAATATTTCATAACTTAGAATTCATCTTGTTTTGAGGATTTTGTGATACTTTGAAATAACTTTAGTGCTCATTTGTTCTTCAAAAATTTGACCTCATTTAGCATTAACATGTATCTTAAGCCTTTTTGGAAATATATTTTTAGTTATTAGAAAATTAATGGAATGTTACCTTGAATTTACATTTTGTATTCTTTCATTTTAGTGACCTAGTTCATACAACAGAAAGTCTTCGGCAATCAAAATTATCTGCTGTGAAAGCTGAAAAAGAAAGTGCCAATTTTGATTTTGTTTTGGAACCTTATAAGCTTGAAAATGCAAGACTGAGTAGAGAAAATAATGAATTATATCTGGAGTTAATGAAACTGAGAGAACACTCAGAACAACACATTAAAGGTAAATGAGAACTTGGTAGTTTTTTATTATTATTATTTTCTTTAACTTTATTTATCTATTTATTTATTTAAGTTTTAATTTGACTGGAGAGGAACAGAGTGTGAAAAAAGTGAGAGAGAAAAAAGTGAGAAAGCAAGACACCAGGTCTGGAACTTGAACCGCAGTCAACCATGTGGGAGTCCAGCATCCTTAACTACCACGCCACCTGCCAGCCCTGAACTTGGTAATTTTTTAAATGTGATGTTTTTTCCTTTTTTGTTTTATATGTATTATATTATGGTAAAATCTAATTTTAAATCTATTAGAAAATGAAAATATGATAGGCCTTTTGCTGATTGCTCCCAAAATAATGTAGGGTATGTTGAAGAGTTCCTGAGAAGGAAAATAAATACAGCATTCTGTGGCTGTATTAGTCTTCACATATGTGGATTACATTTTATTTTTTCTTTTTCCCAAATATTTGTGGACTGAATGAAAGCTGCTGGGAAAGGAGGGAGCTGGGGCAAGTCATGAAAATCTTTTCCCTCATAAACTGGGATTTTTTTTTTAAAGAATAATTTTATCTATCTTTATTAGTATTATTATTTTCCAATTTGGTCAGAGAGAGAAAGGGAAAGTGAGAAAGCAAGCCATCAGGTCTGAGACTTGAACTGCACTTGGCCATGTGGGAATCCAGCACCTCCTACCACCGTGCCACCTGCTGGCCCCTGTGGATTACATTTTTTAAATTAAAATTGCTATAGAGAATATTAAATGCTGGAACTGGAGAAGTGTTTTTAAAACAGCTTTTCCCTTAAAAATAAGAGTAGTAAAAGTAAAAGCCATGTATTACTTAATAGTTGGTCTTGGGTCCAGCAGATAGCGTAATGGTTACGTTGCTGGACTCCACATAGTAGACCACAGTTTGAGTCCCAGACCCAGTGGCTTAAAACTCACACTGGGCACATGTGTGTGCATGCCTGCCCAAAATCCCAAGAGGAGAATAGAAGAGAAAGGATTGCAGTATGGCCATTCCCCTGGGGATTGATTTTGTGCTTTCTGTCGCTCTGGCTAGCTAGCACATGTGCCATAGAGCAAAAATATCTAAAAAAAAAAAAAAAAAAAAAAATTGGTTTTTGAGCTGAAAGCAGGTTAGGATGATTTCAAAGGTTGTAGGCAAAAAGTAAGTGTACGACGTAGAGAAAATGGAGTCAGAATGGTTTAGTCTGGCTCTCTCACCTCTTATCCTATCATGTTTAAAGGCCACAGGATAAACAACTCAAGTTATTAGTTGTAGTGCACTTGTTATGTACTTGTTACTTTGCTGTTTTATCCCATTGCATAAAATTGCACATCTGCATGCACAACTGTTTGTCATTGGCAGTGAGCCACTATACCTGCAGCCCCTTTAAGAGAACAGAAGTACCCGGTCGGCCAGCTAGCCTTGTTCAACTTGGCCTTGGCTCACTGCTCATCCCTGATGCCCTTGGCTTGGCTCGGCCTTGGCTCAGCTCAGCACATGAATTTTCACTTGTGCTGTCAGCTCCCCCTGAACTCAGCCAGTAAACACCATGACATCAAGGCCTCGCATCTTTTTCCAACTCCCTGCATCTCTGCTCAACCCACTTTCCAGAGGGGGAAGACTCTTTTGCAAAACATACGGTTAGCTTATTATACATTTTTCTTATGTTCGTAGATTGTTATCTAATCACTGGCATGAATTTATACTCTTTAGCTTCATTCCCAATTTACTGAATTAAAAGCTATGATGTGGGGCTGGCAGGTGGTGTGGTTAAGGGTGCTGGATTCCCACATGGCCAACTGCAGTTCGAGTCCTAGACCTGGCGGCTGGCTTTCTTTCTTTCACGTTCTCTTTCTCTCTCTGTCTTTCTCTGGTCAAATAAATAAAATAATAACAATAGGAATTTAATTAATTAATTAATTTTTAAAAAGTCATGGTGTACTCTAGGCTCGTACAATAGCAGAAAAATGTAATTCCCTTTTGTGCTTTGTGAATTATTGTAGTTTTGCTAATAATGGTAGGAAGGGTAATAGGCTTTAAACAAAGCCTTAATAAGAATCAGGTAGAGTGTTTCAAATTGATGTGACTTATATTTTGTGAAATTTCTTAATCTTTAAAATAGTCCTTGAATCTTTTTCATTTTAAGAGTTGAAAACTACCTTGAAGAAGTGTTCACGTGAAACAGCTGATCTAAAATTTCTAAATAACCAATATGTCCATAAACTCAAACTATTGGAGAAAGAGAGTAAAGCTAAGAATGAAAAAATTCAACAACTCCAGGAAAAGAATTTACATGCTATAGTACAAACTCCCGGTAAGTCCACATTTTGTCAAAATAAATTATACACATGTACCATTTTAAAGATATTAGAGCTATTGACTGAAATAGAACTTTGAATTTTCATGCTTAGGCTTTAATGTTTGAAAAGCTCTATTGGAGAGTCATAGAAACTTCTTGATTTATTTCTGAAGATCTAGGTAGTTGGGGTTTTTTGTTTTTGTTTTTCTTTTTGAGATTTTTGCTATAGGACATGTGTACTTGCCAGAGAGACAGAAAGTGAGAAATCACCTCACAGGGGAGATGGCCAGGCCACAGTTCCTTCTCCCCCTTTCTCTCAGGATTTTAGGTATACACCTGCATGCGCCCAGCATTAGTTTTAAACAGTCAGGTCTGGAACTCAAATCACAGTTGACAATATGGGAGTTCAGTGACGTAACCATTATGCCAGCTGCTTGTCCCCAGGTAGTATTTTTTTTTTTAGTTAATTTTATTTATTTATTTATTTATTTTACTTGACCAGAAAGAGAGACAGAGAGAGAGAAAGTTAGAAAGCAAGCTGCCAGGTCCAGAACTTGAACTGTGGTTGGCCATGTGGGAGTCCAGCTCCCCGATCACCATGCCTCCAGGTAATATTTTATACATGTGCTTAGAAACTTAACTTAGTAATAGCCTTAGAGACATGTAGTCTAACATCAGGGCCCAGAGTTTTATTTTCCTAATCATGATTTTAAATTCTTTTTCTAATGTTATTTTGATTATAAAAGTAGTTTGTATTCGTTAAAGAAATTGAAAAGTTATATATTTAGTTTATTTTACAGTTCTTAGTGTTATGCCCAGTAGTTCTAAAGGAAGAAAAAAGAAAGTGGGGCACATCCAAAGCTGTAGTTGTCAGCAGGTATAGGTTGGTGGAAGAATCTCCAGGATTAGTGACAAGATCATCAAGATGTCTAACGGTGGGGTCAAGGCTGTGGAAGCAGGTGAGGCACAGGTGCTGCTGGCTGTCTAGGTAAACACTTAGGGGGCAAAGAGCACGGTGAGTGTCAAATGCAGTAGGGGGAATGGAGATTGTAGTCAGAAGAGAATCTCGGAGTTCAGTGTCTAGAAGCTAGCACAGTTCTGAGTGATGACAGTGTCCAAAGCACAGTCTTGTCATCCTGTGCCTGAAGCTGCATGGAAAAGGAGACTCATGAGAGTAGAGGGATTTTAGAACTGTAAGGCCAGGGTGGGTTAGATCTTGGAAGTAACTAGATTAAAGCTGAAAGGAGAATAATAAGGTTTCTGAGGAAAGAATGGGACCAATTTAAGAGAGACTCAAGATATATAATCAATAGAATTTAGTTAAGATTGAATGTGGTAGATTTGGAAAGAGTAATTCTTTGATTTGTGTTTTGAGTGAATGAGTTGGGTGATGGTACTATTTCTTAAGATTTGTGGTTTGAGGGCAACAGAGCAAGAGTCCACTTTGGAATGTGCTGAACATGGTATACCTACAGGACATTTGCTGACATTTTTAGTAACCAGTAGGATCTGTAAATCTGTTCTTGCAAAGTAGACCCAGATGGAGTTCAAATTTTAGAGAGAGAGAGAGAGACAGAAAGCAAGAAGTCACCTCCTGGTGAGGATAGCCACACAGTCCCTTCTTCATTCTCCTCTTGGGATTTTGGGCACGCACACACATGCCCCTGATGTGAGTTTTAAGCGACGAGTCTGGGACTTGAACTATAGTTAACTAAGTGGGAGTCCAGCAACATAACCATTAAGCCATCTACTGGTCCTGAGGGTTTTTAAAAGAAACGGAGAAAGAGCAACCAATGAGAAAAACCAGGACGTAAAGGAAGAGGAAGTCGTGGTTGGCCTTATTTAGTTGTATAACTACAATGTAGCCCAGTTTCTTTATCCTTAAAACTAGAGAACAGATGTAGACAAACCATATTAGAATTCTAATGAAGATGAAAGCAGAGGTTATGTTTGTTCTTCATGAGGATCTATTTGTTTTCCAAGTGTGGTTCTCTTCTGGCCACATGCCTAAAAATGTATATTATCCATGCATTTTTGGCTAAGACAGAATACATTCATATGTAAAATAATTTATACTCTCCCCACTTGTAAAGCTAATTAAGAAAATATCCCCAGGCCACAGGTAGTGTAGTAGTGGAGGCGCTGGACTCCCATGTGGTTGACCACTGTTCAAATCCTAGACCTGGCAGCTTGAAACTCACACTGGGCACACGTACATGCGTACCTAAAATCCTGAGAGGAGAATGGAGGAGAGGGGATCGTGGATTGCCATTTCCCCTGGGGGGTGATTTCTCACTTTCTCTCTCTCTGCCTTTCTGACGAGTGCTTGTGCCCTATAGCAAAAGTCTTTCTCTCGGGGAAAAAAAGAAAGAAAGAAAGAGAGAAAAAGAAAAAGAAAAAGAAAATATTCCCTACTGGGCCCAGCAGGTAGCATGGTGTTTGGGGCATTGGACTCCCACATGGCCAATCACAGTTCAAGTCCTGGACCTAGAAGCCTTCTTTCTCTCTTTCTCTTTCCCCCTGATCAAATTGAAGAATAATAAATAAAATTAAACAAATAATTTTTTAAAATTCTCTCTCCATTTGGGTAATAGCATGACTATATTACAGCGGATATCCCACTACATTTTAATTTTGCTACATAAATTTTAGTTACTCGTTCATCTGACATTGCATGTTAAGCATGTGTGTTTTAGTTCTCATTGCCTGAAGCACCTCATTTGACAGTTTTCTGCTAGTGATGATTTCTTGAGCTCATAATAGTGACTGCCACAAGGGACACTCAGTTTTAATCTTGCCAAAGTCCAATCCCCATCTAGTGAGAAACAGATAATCTGGGCACACCTGCCAAGTAGGCGGGCATATAAAACATGTTCTATAAATGTGTCTTGTTGGGGTTTTCAGGAGTATGTTATTTTGTTAAAGGTCAGGGTGAATATTTGCCTATGGGGGAGAAAATATTTTATTTTATTGATAACAAAATATAAATTAGAGACATACTTTTTTTTTTTTTAAATGTTTTTGATGTAGGGAGTGTGTGCTCGCCGAAGAGAGATAGAGAGAGGGAAAGTGAGAAATAATCTCTGTGGGAGTGGCCACACACAATCCCTTCTCCATTCTCCTCTCAGGATTTTGGGCACGCAGGCACACACATTTGGCATGATTTTCAAGCCACTAAGGCTGGAACTTGAACCGTGGTCACCCATTTGGGAGTCCAGCACCTTAACCACCATGCTACCTACTGGTCAAAATGTACTTTTTAGTGAAAAGGCTAAACTAGAATATTGCATCTTAAGACAATGTTTTACTGTGTTCTTAATTTTTTTAAGACATCAACTGTTTTTTGTTTTTTTTTAGGTGGCAAGAAAAGAAGTATTGCCTTTCGGAGGCAGAGAATGCAAATCGATGAGCCAGCCCCTCCCTCTGAAGTCAGTTCATACCCAGTCCCACAGCCAGAGGACCCTTACATCGCAGACCTCCTGCAGGTGGCTGATAACAGGTGCGTTAATACTTTCGTTTTCTGGAGCTGATTGAGCACGAGATTAGCTCTCAGTTTCTTAACTGTTGTATTTCTAATGTGTAACACAAAACTTTACAGACATTTAATAAATATTTTTCTAATGATAGAATGTTTTTACTGATTCGAAGCCTGGATTTCAAATAAATCCTACATCTGAGATTTTTGTCCTTAATTGCTTTAAAATGATTTAGTGCCATCAAGAACCTATTTCAGTAGAATTGACTTTGACATTTTGTTTCATTTCTAAGTAAGTTATCTTTTATAGGGATCTATATTACTTCAATAAATTCATGCCAAATGCTGGTTGATCATGAATAGATTTGTAACTAGGTTTCCAATTCATGTTCTGTGGCTTCTCTAGCCCTGTCCTTAAGTCAGAATCAGATAGGGAATCAGGTTAACTGAGACTTCACCAAGCCTCCTGGATGTGACATGCGTAGTGTTCTGTGCTCAGAAGACGAGTACGACGTCCTGCTGCTTTTGAGATCCTTGCATTCCAGTAGCGGGGGTGGAATACATGAAATGCCATTAAGAAAAGTATCAGGGTAGCTTTAAGGAGTGGTGACAGCCTCTAGGATGACAGCCAGGGAAACATTTCAAACTAGAATGCACTAGGGGCATAGGTACACACGTAACTTTTTAATTTTGTTGATTATGCAGAGAATGTAAGAGTTTTTTTCAGCCCATTATTTTCCATATAGAAATCTAAATCCTTTTTTTAGGACATGTACATTTTGTTTATATTCAGAGACATTTGTACTTTTAAATGAGCCATTTCAGACATATTCTTTTATCATAATCATTTATTCAAATACATTATTATTATTATTACTTTTAATTTGCTATAGGGCATGTGTGCTCACCCGAGAGAGACAGAAAGAGAGAGAGAAAGTGAGAAAGCAAGCCTCCAGGCCCAGGACTCAGACTACAGTCAGCTGTATGGGAGTCTAGTGTCTTAACCACCACACTACCTGCTAGCCCCAGACATACTCTTCTTGTAAACCCAGATTAGGAGAAAATTTCAGTTCTAGTAATAGCGGGGGGTGAGCTATGTTTAGAAGCTTCACTCTATGGAAAATTTTTCTAAAAGGCAGACCTGGCTTTAGGCTTTATCTTTCTCATTGAAAGTGGATTATGTCATATTGATGTAGTACAGATCTATTTGGATACTTGTAGAATTCAAGTAATTTGAACAATATCATGGTTCTGTTAGAATGGATGGGTTCCAGAAGGAGTAGACTTTTGCTGCAATTACTTGGAAGATGGCAATATTTTTTCGTATTTCTCTTCTCTCCAGGGTTGCAGAGTAGAGTTACAGTACAGGTTAGACTTGGTTAATTAGAGTGAGAAAGCACATTTTTGTCCTTTATTTCACTTAATAATGTGAATTTGAGGCTAGGCCCTCAGTTTTCTGAATTTATAAGTTAGCAGCAGTACCTCAAAAAGTTATCCTAAGGATCACAATGCAAGAGTGATATATTTTGATCGCATAATGCATCTGAGTTTGAAATCAATTACCACTCACTTTTTTTTTATTACCTTTTTTTGGAGAGGTTTTTGCTATACGTGTGTGTGCACTCGCCAGAAAGACAGAGAGACAGAGAGACAGAAAATAAGAAATCACCCCCCTGGGGGGATGGCCACGCCACAATCCCTTCTCTATCCCCCTCTCAGGATCTTGGGCACGCACACACATGCACCCAGCGTGAATTTAAGCCACCAGGTCCGGGACTCAAGCCGCGGTCGACTACATGGAGTCCAGCGATATAGCTGTTATGCCAACTGCTGGTACCACACTCACTTTATTAAATTAAATTTATTATTATCATAATCTTGTTTATATTACATTGACTCACATGTATCTTTACAGTATATTACATTTCTTTTTCCAGAATGATTACCATGCATATCAATCAAGATAAAGTCATTGCTATCCACATCATCATCAAATAGCTTTCATAATTTTTTCCAGATTATTATTATTTTTATTCTCATTTTTTTAAACATTCAATCACTATGTCATTTTTCTACTCACTTTTTTTATCTATGCTTATAAAATTAACTCTCCAAGATGCTATACTATATTTATATGGAGGCTTTAGTACCCTTTGGCACCACACCTCAAACCTGATTGAGAAGCAGGAAGTATAGAATTTATGAAAGAGACCATGTAGTTTCATTTCTTGTTATTTTGTATTTCTTAGTAAAAGTATATTTGCATTAGTTATAAATGTGTTTCAGGATTCAAGAACTTCAACAAGAAGTCTGCCAGTTACAAGAGAAGTTAGCAATGATGGAAAACGGAGTGAGAGATTATAGCAAGCAGGTAGGATTTTTGTTTACATGTGTAGTAGGGATTGAGCTGGGTATGCTTTGATTGCAAATAGAAGTAGGTTGTACTTGACATTACTGACAGTTTTTATACAGCTTTTATCGTCCTCGTCCGTTTGTTAATAGAGTTAATAATAGAATGACTTTAGATGCTTTAGAACACATAGTCCATTCCATTCATTATTCATTGGGGTGAATAGTAGTTTTTCTGGATTTTTGTTTGTTTTTCTTTTAAATGAATCATCTCTCTCTAAATATACCTTTGTAACCATATTGGAGTTTCCATCACAGGAAGCATTTTGGTGAAGTATGCTATGTTTTATAGTTTTATTTTTATCCTTACAGATTTTTGTTAGTGTGAACATGAATCTCTGGATGTTACTCTTCTGTATTGCCTTTTTTGGTGTGTGTTTAATTCTCTGTAAGCACTAATACCTCGTAAAATAGTTTTCTAAAGAAGCAGGGGATTAATGGGTGCAAAATTATACCATAACCATAACAGACTTCATCTTTTCATATTTTATGTTGATGTCTTAGCTAAATTCCAATTTGGGTAGTTAGAGGCTTGCTTTCTTTATGTGCTTACTGAAGTTTAAATTGGGTAATAAGTTTTTCACTTTCTGCTTAAACTGCATTTTTTTTTTTTTGGAGTGAAGTGATCCCTCCATACTTATATAAATGTAACATATGTTTTTATAACTGTTAAGTTTGTGAAGTACTTTGAAGATCATTTGGATAAAAATTAAAATTGTTGTAAGGTCAACCAAAAATCTTTTTGCAGAAATGTCAAAAATAGCCATTCTGCCCAGGAGTTGAATATTATTGGTAGTTTTCAGTTGATAACCACACTTTCATCACATTTTTCTCCAAGTACTTTATGAACATCAACTGGCCAGTCTTTACCATCCATGTCTGTGAGGTGGCTAAGATGTTTGGAAAAAATAGCTTGACCTTCTGATAGAAATCACCAATTTATTTTGATTAACAATTTCAGTTGAGCCTACCCTGCTGCCTAACAGTTATGTTGTTGGGATTTTTTTTTTTTTTTTTTGCTTGAGCTTACTCTGTTTTTCTTAGCACATATTCCAAATAATGCTGCTCTCAAGCTCTTTCCCCACCTATAGTAGACCCCTTCTCAGGGTGTCACCTTGTCCCAGCTTCCAGTCTCTACCTTCAAAGTTGGCAGTATCTACCCTCAGGCTCTCGGGACTGACCAGGTAGGGTGTCATCTCCCTGCTGAAGGCAGGGTTTGCCAGTGCTCTCACCAATTCCTTTGCTTATTCCTAAGGTCTTTATACTGTTATTTATTCCTCGCTTGACACATAACCATTTCACAATGATTATTATTATTATTTTTTTTTTTAAGAAAGATTTTTGCTGTAGGGTGCATGCTCTTGCCAGAGAGACAGAAAGCAAGAATTTACCTCTGGTGGGATGGTCATGCCACAGTCCCTTCTCCTCCATTCTCCTCTTGGGATCTTGGGCACGCACGCACACCCACTCAGTGTGAGTTTTAAGCCACCAGGTCAGAGACTCGAACTGCAGTTGACTACATGGGAGTCCAGCGACATAACCATTATGCCATCTGCTGGTCCCTTTTTTTTTGAAAGATTTTTGCTATAGGGTACATGTGCTTGCCATATAGACAGAGAGAGAAAACAAATCACCCCCCGGGGAGGATGGCTACACAGCAATCCCTTCTGCTCTATTTTCCTCTCGGGACTTTGGGCACACATGCACATATGCCTGTTATGAGTTTCAAGCCACCAGGTCCGGAACTCGTACCACGTCAGCCATATGGAAGTCCCACATCTTAACCACTCTGCCACCTGCTGGCCCCCCAATGATTATTCTTTTAATCTTCATAACCGTCTTATGAGGCAATACTATTTGTCATCCCCAGTATGCCTTAATGATTTTTGTCTTTTAACTACCTCCTCCTCTTGCTATTGCTTTCTTGTTTTTCCTTGTGCAGACTTTTCAAGAGAATATGTGACTCACTGTCACCATTTCTATCTTGACTTCTTCACCTCCTGCTCCTCCTTACTTTCTTGTGTCTGCTTTCTGCCTCCCAGTTGGACTAGTTAATGGCAGCAGTGACCTTAATCCCAAAGGTACTTTCTTGACCCCCTCTGTACTATTTGACCTTATTGATCATTTCTCTTTGAAACTCTTCCATTACTTTATTTTCTTTCTGATTGCATTATTTTTTTTAAGAAACCTCTTACAATTTCTATTTCTCTTTTGCTTTTTTCACTTGCCCACTCCCTGAAATGTTACTGTTTTCCAGGATTCTGTCTTTGAACCCTTCTCCTCTTCCTGTATGTTTTCTCAAGTGGTTTCATTTGCTCAGTTGGTTTAAAATATTGCCTGTGTGTTGACAGTACTCTTCAGTCTCTCAGGCTCAGACTTCTCTGCTGTGTTCCAAACCTATGTTCCTGATTTCCCACTGGGCATTCCGTTTGGAGGCTGCCCTTTGTACTCCTGTATGTGTACCAGACTTGTTATCTTCGGCTTCGAGTCTCTTCTAACTTCTGTATTTCTCTACTTTGATTGGTGCTGTCTCCGTCTACCCAAGTCCATGTTCCGTGGTCTTCCTAGATCTCATTTCCCTGCCTTCACATACCATTTACCACGGTCTGTCGGTTGTCCTGCCCAAGTACTTTTTATTTCCTGCTCTTACTCTATGCCCGTGTTTTAGTTTAGGCTCTAATTGCCTCTCATCCATTTCTGCAATAGCTCTCCCTGCCTCTGGTTCTATTCCTATTAAATGTACCCTTTAATCACAGTAACTCTAATTCCTGCCAGTTTTCAGGTTTACCATTAGCTCCCTGTATATCACGACCCAGTCACACTGAGCCATTTCCACTGCCGCAGACATACCATGTTGTTTTACACTTTCGTGTCAGTGCCTAGAGCACCCCTTTTCTCCCAATAGCAGCGTTCTGCCTTCTGGGGCGTGTTTATCTGGTAAGGCCTTCACTACGTCCCATAGACACAGACATACCACGCAAGTCACTTCAGTCCCTTCACTGTTTTGGTGGCATACACCATATCCTTTATTGAACACCATGGTATACAGCATTATTGGTTTGCTTACTCGTTTTCCCTATAAAACTGTGTATTCCTGAATGTCAGAAAACCAAGTTTTCTCCATCTTTGTGTGCCTAATTCTGTGTTCAGTAACTGTTGAATAGAACATTTGGTTTCTGTTTTGAATTTTATTGAAAAAGGAAACCAAGGCTTGAAAGTGTGGGTTTTTCCAGATTCTTGAGTGAATTAGTATTAACTACTGGTTAATAATGATCTGTGATTTTTTCAATTATATGTCTGTTGTTTTCTATGTAGATAATTAAATTTACCCCAGTTTCCTATACTGTTTTTTATTTTTTGCTTTTTGGGCAGCAGTTACATGCACACTTTAGACGGAAAGGGAGAAAGCACCCCCCAGTTCCTTCTTTCACTCTACACCCCTCTCCGTTCCTCCTTTCTGTCAGAGTTTCGGGCATGCATGCACACATACTTCGTGTGTTTTTCAAGCCACTGACACCAGGATTTGAACCACGGTTGATCGTGTGGGATCTGGCTTCCTTATCCATCTCCTGCCTAAAGGTTAAGATAGCCCTCCTATCATTTTTAATATTGAAGTTCAATAAGAACTCATTTTTTCAGTTCGTTACATTCATTCATTTGGCCCACCAGGCACTGATGTGGTTCAGACTCAGTTCCAGTTCTTAAGCATATAGGTACCTGCTAACAGTTATTTTGTTGTTGCTTTTTGTTTTGTTTTATATAAGCACAGTCTAATCTTTTTTTTTTTTTTTCATAGAGAGATTTTTTGCTATAGGGTGCATGCACTCACCAGAGAGACAGAAAATGAGAAATCACCCCCCTACCCGCAGGGGGCATGGCCAGGCCTCAGCCCCTTCTCCTCCATTCTCCTCTCAAGACTTTGGGCATACAGGCACACGTGCCAGGCCTGAGGTTTTTTGTTTGTTTTTTTTTTTTTTTCTTTTTTTGGGAGAGGTTTTTGCTATAGGGAGCATGCACTCACCAGAGAGACAGAAAATGAGAAATCGCCCCCCTACCCGCAGGGGGCATGGCCAGGCCTCAGCCCCTTCTCCTCCATTCTCCTCTCCAGACTTTGGGCATACAGGCACACGTGCCCGGCGTGAGTTTTAAGCCACCGGGTCCGGGACACGAACTGCGGTCAACTACATGGGAGTCCAGTGACATAGCCATTACGCTAACTGCTGGTTCCCCCAGGCCTGAGTTTTAAAGTCAACTACATAGTAGCCCAACTGTAACCATTATGCCATCTGCTCGTCCCACCACAGCCTAATCTTGAAGGAGGAGGAAAACCCCAAAATTAAATTAGGAAGAATCTAGTCAGTAGTAATTCTTATGCAAGCTATTTGACAGTATTTATATTGACACTTTCTGTGCTATTTTTGTTCTGCCTATGGATATGTGAGTGGGTGCAAATATGAATGCAAATCTATTGTGGAACCTAAAAAGAAGTATGTCCAAGTAAGTGTTGGTTTTGAGCCAGATAACAAACCAGATTTTAAAAATGACGGCACACCTTGTGTCTTCAGATCGAGTTGCGAGAACGAGAGATAGAACGGCTGTCAGTTGCGTTGGATGGTGGTCGCTCCCCTGATGTCCTCTCCCTGGAGACGAGAAATAAAACCAACGAGAAGCTTATTGCTCATTTAAATATTCAGGTAATGGCTTTTATGATTATTTCACTGAATATTTAAAATCCTAAGTGTTTAGAATGTTCCATGGTTTTGTCAAAGTGAGTTGTTCACTGAAGGTTATTTACAGTGGGAAAAATTAGATAGAGCCCAAGTATCCAGAAATAGGGTGCAACTATTGAAAAATAATGTTTTAAAATAATTTTCAATGAAGCGAGAATGAAAATAGATCATAATGTTAAAAATTTTAAAGAAGATTCTTTTTTGGCCGGAACCGCCATCTTCCAGTAATTAACCAAAATGACAAACACAGTGAGAAAGAGGAGAGGCACCTCATATATGTTCTCCAGGCCTTTTAGAAAACATGGAGTGGTTCCTGTGGCAACACACATGCATCTACAAGAAGGGTGATAGTGGGACCAGCAATTGGTGTAATGGCTATGTTGCTGGACTTCCATGTAGTTGACCGTGGTTCGAGTCCCGGACCTGGTGGCTTAAACTCACCCTGGGTGCATGTGCGTGTGCGTGCGTGCCCAAGATCCCGAGAGGAGAATGGAGGAGAAGGGATTGCATCGGCCATCCCCCCTCGGGGGTGATTTCTCGCTTTCTGTCTCTGTCTCTGCCTTTCTGGCAAGTGCATGCTCCCTATAGCAAAAACCTCTCCCAAAAAAAGAAAAAAAAAAGAAAAGAAAGAAAGGTGATAGTGTAGATATAGGGAATGGATACTGTCCAAAAAGGAATGCCCCCTAAATGTGACCATGACAAAACTGGAGGAGTCTACAGTGTTACCCAACATGCTGTTGGCATTGTTGTAAACAAACAGGTTAAGGGCAAGATTCTTGCCAAGAGAATTAATGTCTGTGTTGAGCATATTAAGTATTCTAAGAGCAGAGATAGCTTCCTAAAACAAGTGAAGGAAAATGACCAGAAAAAGAAGGAAGCCGAAGGGAAAGGGGCCTGGGTTCAACTGAAGCGCCAGCCTGCTCCACCCAGAGCAGCACACTCTGAGAACTCGTGGAAAGGAGCCTGAGCTACTGGAACCTAGTCTCTATGAATTCATGGCATGATAGGTGTTAAAAATAAAATAATCATCATTTTACTTTGAATAAAAGGTATATGTGTACTTTGAAAGACACTGAAAGAAAATATACCAAAATTTACTAAAAAGGCTTATCTTTGTGTGATGTGTTAACCTTTTTTTTTCTTCAAAAATTTTGTGACTCAGGACCAGCAGTTGGCATAATGGCTATGTTGCTGGACTCCATGTGGTCGACTGCAGTTCGAGTCCTGGACTCAGTGGCTTAAACTCAGACCAAGCACGTGTGCATGCCCAAGATCCTGAGAGGAGAATGGAGGTGAAGGAATTGTGTGTGGTGTGGCCATCTCCCTGGGGGTGATTTCTCACTTTCTGTCTGTCTGTCTTTGTGTTTCTGGTGAGTGCATATACCCTATAGCAAAAACCTCTCCAAAAAAAAATTTTGTGACTCTTCTATATGTAAAAAAGATTATTTTAAATATATATGTATATATGTAATTTTTTTTTTTTTTTGAGAGGTTTCGCACTATAGGGTGCGTCAGGT